ACGTAACAATCCTTGGAAACCCGATATATCGTCGTCCGAAGTCTTAACTGTTCTGACTCCATTTTTCAAAGAAATTTTAGTCAATCAATCTATATCTCATTGGTCCGAAGAATGCAAATTCACTATAATATAAGGAAACTCCATCCTAAAAAACAGCAAATATTCTTGTAAGGCCTAACTACGAAGCTTTGAAGTTTTTTTTCATAATGGTTGTGTCTCCAAATACTATCAACAATTAAAAATTTATATTAATAATAATATAAAATTTTGTTAGATATTGTAATAAATAGCTATTCGGTAGATGATGTTATAGTGTGTTTCATTATTTCACTACATTCCTGTTTCTGTAATATTAATCTTCGTAAACTTCAGACTAAGTTTAGGCACTAGTGGAGATTGAACACTTAAGAATTATAGCGACGATATAGTAATTCCAACCGTTACCTCTTCTATGCCAATTCATCTCAATATTTCACGCGTGTACTGCACGAAACTCTGACTCCTGTTGCCGTCTACTTTCGTAAATGACAATTAAGTAATGGGCAGCTCTCGAGATTATTCTGACACACGAGGAATCAGGCAGTGCTCATTAGGAGAGCTCCTTAGACAGTGGAGAAACAAATTCTTGTTTCGTACCGATCCTCGGAGACAATGGGCTCGCGTATAATTCGGGAACAAAAGGTTGGTCATCTTTCGGCCAAAGGAGAAGTCGCGACAAAGAAATGTTTCATAAAGCCGCTGGATTGGACGCCGAAGCATCAATAACCGTGGAATTAGAGCGGTCGTGTGATGTCGGTAAGCCTGTCTCTTCAGACCTCTTCGCCACCCTCAAGGGAAGCCTCGAAAAGGAATCGGGGATATATGAAGGTACGGAAACGAGAACACAGCAAAGATGCCCGATATTGCAGGATACGCATTTCTTGACCGTGCAGATTTTCAATAAACGGATCATCTCTATGAAATTTCAACAGATCCACGAGACACGTTGTACATGTCACAGTAAAAGCATAAAGTTTAGTAAATGTATACGCTTATTAGTCAATGTATGCATTCACATACGATTTTAGTAGATAACGCATTCATTTACTACAACACATAATGTCGAAAGTATATTTTTTAAGATATCGGTATATTTAAAGAACAAAAATAAAAATTGAAAACTTTATTTGATAATTGGGGATCTTTTTTAAGAAAATTGGTTGTTCTTATTTAATAAATATAAGAACATAAGATAGGCAGAAACAGGAAATATTAGGTTAATTTAGGTTAGAAATGTAAATGTATGCAATTACATACTAGTAAAAGTATAAATTTCGTTTCTTGCGAATACATTCGCTAACCAGATTAGTAAATGCATACAGTGACTAGGAAATGTATACGTTTAGTGGATTAACGCTTTTACTGTAACATATACACGTTCTCACAAAAGCAGGAAGGAAATCTGAAAGAATCTTTCTTTCTTACGGTCAATTTCATCGACAGAGAGCGAACCTCTTCGACTCCCGTTCATACGATTGACCGAGAAACGTGTGACGCTTAACGGTCGTACTTCGACAGGGGAGAAAAACGGTATATTGGTCAGTAACACACACACACACAAACAGAGGGGCGAGGAAAGTTTTTCCCTCCTCACGAAATGAGAAAACTTCCACGGAGATTTGCTGATTGAATTAGGCGCCACCGGACGAGAGATTCCCGCGTGAAATTCCGACCAAAACGGGGCGGCGAGCCCGCGGAACGAGAGACTTCCTCATAAACAAAGTAAGTTTCCGTGTCGAATAAACTGTGGGAGGGGAGAGCTGGGTGATATTAAGGCAGAGATATTGTTGGTGGTATTTACCACACAGCCGGTAAACGAGCCGATGGACCAGCGTGACTTTTGATATTTGGATCAGCCGATGCTCGATAAAGCCAAGGTGAAACGAAACGCGGGGTAGTAACGGATTGGTTCGTGGAAGAACAGGCTCTGGAGCTTCACAAGTCCGATTTACAGGGCCGGGGGGTTTTTTGTGGGAATTCCTCGTTGTTGGTCTTACGTGTTGTATCTCTACCAGTTTCGAAACTGAGAAAACTGAGTTTAATACGTTCTCGTCTTTCGGGAATTAAGAGGAAAATAAATTTTCATCGTTCGGGGCCGTTCATCATTCTGGACGCTACCCCGAGATTTTCATAAAATTCTTGGGATGGAAAGAATTCTCGTTTCGTTTAAACGAAACTTCGACGAAGTATCGACACCGAACGAACCGTGGGGGGCTGCGAGGTGTACAACGCGCAAGGTCCACGTGAAATATATTACTGCTTTCGGTGGGTTTGTGTATTTATGGTTCCAGTGGTGTTGCACCTTATCGCGGGCCGGCTGTTCCGTCGTGTCGTTATTAACATCCGTATTCGAAATAATTTAAAAATGTTGTACCCCTCAGAAATCTGCTTTAACCTTTTGTTTATGCCTACCTAGATTGCTATTAACACTTTGTATACATATATACAGGGTGTCATGTAACTTGGTAGGATGTAATTATCGCGAAGTTTGAAATCTCGCCCGGAGACCATGGATCGTTTTATATGTTCCTCAAAAGCACGAGAAGTCACACAATCTCGATTTACGACATATCGATCGGGAACGAAGCTGTGCTACCAGAAATTCGATTAAGATCAAACACCGTCGAGGTTTATTTTCGTCGAATGCATTTCGCGATGTGCAAGGTCGCTCGTATTCGCGTAAACAGGAGCGCCAATGGAATTTCGGTCGCGAGTCAGCCAAATCAACGGGGTATAGTATACGTATATCTATCTGCATACACAGGGAGTTAAAAAAAAGCCATTCAATATTTATCTGGTACATAGGACCCACTGTACCGAGTAAAAAAGCCGTAGTAAACATAGTTCGAAAGGTCAACCATTTCTGAGATGTAGACATTCTTGTATGTTAACACCATGATTGACTTACTACTAGCTTTCCGATGTTTACAGAAGGTGTTTCACTTTACTTTCTCTTTTTTTTATTTTTTTTCACTTAAAATGTATATCTGACATTTCTTCATTAGAGTCATTCTATGTTTACCAAGGCTTTTTTATTCGGTACAGTGTGTCCTATGAACCATTTATATATCGAAGGGAGTGAAAAGGGGTAAAATGAGTTTTTGTGCATATACATATACATAAAGAAGAAAAACAATTTTTTCGCGACGTACCGTACGGCGAGAAGTTTTAGGGAAATCCATAAATGGGGACGGCTTATCGCGGCCATCGTCGTGTCGCCCCCCGAACGTGATTTATCGAACGGCTTCCGGGTGTAGGAAGCAGATACATATCGACGCCGGTGTTACAACTTAAGCTCGCCTTTACGTCTGATCGATGCAATATTATTATATCTTGCATCGATCCTTAGGTGGCACGCTCGTTGAATAAAATATCTCACCTCTCGGGAATGTGGGAAAATATCGTGTCCGCTTTCGGCCCAAGGTTGTCCGAGTTTGTTTCCCGTCCAGCAATAAGCATCGATTCTTCTAACTATTTCCTCCCGCATCCTCTTTATTTATAATCCTCGATACATATTCCATCGAGAAATACCAGAGAGGATCTTTGATGTCTCGATAAGCCGAACGAGTGTAGTACGAATCTCTCGCTCCTGATTCATCGAGTAGCTCTCGATCGAAGAAGAAACACCGAATACGTACATTGAAAAGTATAATAACTCGCGTCGGCGGAATCGTCGAAGCGAGACTATCACCGTGTACAGGCGCGCTTATATTCCCGTAGTGCGTTCGACGAGCAAATAACACAGGGTAAACAAGAGTTGGTTCCACTGAATAATTCAAGCTCCAGCGACAACGTACCGCGTAGATAGTAACGAAACTGAATATTTATAAATCCCACGGGCAAATCTTCCACGAGTCGGCAAAGTCTCCAGAAAACACCCCCGAAAGCAAAAACCAAACTCCCCCTGGTTGCCTGATCCCTGCAAAAAATATCGTAGGTACGATGCTTCCTTTTCCTCTCGTTCATCGCGAAGACAAATCGGGTAACGCTCTCGATACCCGTCGAACGAAAAAGAAAGCACATTTCGTTGCTCGAAACGACACAGGCCCTCACCCCCTCCCCCTTGTGTTTCACTGTGGGAGGCGTCGTTCGAGTTTCACCGAGTCGAAACGACCCTGGGACCCAACCATTCTCTCTAGCCGAACATTTTTTACAATTCCGCGTCACTGAAGAAGGGGGGTGGTGTGCTGATCCCGGAACACACAAGCTAGGGAATCGGCTAATAATGCCGGGGGGGTTGGCGATAAATCGAATCCTCCGGGGAGAAGTTGAAACTGTCATCGTTTGTTCTAGATGGAGGAGAGGCCTGAATAATCCGCCGTTCGATCCCTGGGAACGCGAGTAGTAGTACAGGCAGTCGTAAAATCGGACCTGAAGAATCCATAAACTGGTCCGAGGGGGGGGCGCTCATTGGGAGGATCGGGGCGCGCTGCTGCTGAATAAACGCGCCCTCCCATCCCCCACCCCCCTCGTGATCGTGTAACACAACCCTCCCCCTCCCGCCCCGCCCGCCGTCCCAGGGTTTTCCTTGGTCAATTTGGAACCGATGCCGGGAATGGGGCGCGTTTTACGAGGCACCGTGCGCGCCCCGCGTTACACCAGGAACCTACCATCGACGTTCGCGTAATGGACCACCACCAGGCGGGGAGGTTCATTTCGTTTCGTGGCCACCTGGCGTAGATCCTTCGAAGAACACAGACCACCGATCGTGTACTATACATATACGTCGTCCTCGATCGGCGACTATGCGGAACGAAAGAGAAAGACCGGTGTCCAGACACGGAGTGATCATCATGAGCATCGACGATCGTTCGTGGACAAAGTGTCCCGACCCCTACCGAGGATGTCATCGTCGGTGAACAATCGTCTCTCTTTGTCCGACCAAGCCTGCCGACCAAGACCTGTATCGGAGAGTAGGGTACAAATGTAGCTCGACAGAGGAGGAAAAAGATCGAGGAACCATGGACGGGAATTTGACCACGTGGACGGGTAATCTGACCGCGATGTTGCACCAGGTATCCTGTAACGGTAGTTATCCAGGCTGTATGGACGACTGCGGGCCCAGTCTGCTGGGATTCGATCATCTTTGTACGGCGGACAGAGGCACCTTCGCTTCGTCTATGACGCTGCTTTGCAGACCGTGCGATTATTCGTGCGACATGAACGTCTCGTTGGTGATCAGTGGACTGGAGAGCATCGAGGGTGTGTTCCTGTCGAGGATACCGAGGTTCAGGGAGTGCAACGAGACCGTGTTCGAGAACGGGGTGAGAACTTAAAGGTTCCTTTTTATCGCGATATCTGAATGTGTTTCTACCTGTGATCTGTGTACTTCCATTCCGAACCCGATAATAATAAGAGGATTGGATGTTTTTTTTTAATTTTGTGTAACTAGTCTAGAATTGTTCGAAAGCTCGGTAGTACAAGAGTTAACGAGACACGAGATTCTCTACAGTAAGATCAATTTACTCGTTAAAGAGCTGTTACGGTTGACCGAGGTATACTGTATTTAAAAAAAAAGGCAAAAATGTCAGGAAATTCTTCGAAACGCAATTACCGTTAACTTCGAAGGCAAACGAGTTTAATTTATCGCGTCTTTTTCTTCGAAATTCACGGTTCCCCGTCTTCGTCGGGCGCAGAAAAACCGGTAACAGCGTTGCAAACTTGCGAATTCATTTACGCGAATAATTTGGGGGGGGGGGGGGGGGGGGGGGGGGGGGGGGGGGGGATTCCTGTCACGTTTCGTGGAAGTTCTATGATTTAGTCAGGAAACGGCTAGACCTGTTTCGAATAGTCAGTCGCTGCACAAATGAAGATTCATTGGTATAACCGGAATAATACCTTTCCAGCTTCTTCGAAATAGCAACCGCATCGAGCACAGTTGGAATAATTTTCGCGGTAAAGAAAACTCCGAAGAAACTTTCGATCGGTCAAAATTCCTCGCGATTACGCCAGCCCGTGGTGTCCCTCCAACCGATACACGCGTCTTCTCGTTCTTCTCGATCCCGTTAAACGTTCCTAGATTCTGGAATGCACGACGTCCGAGAATGCAACGACGGAGGATCTCGCGATCTCCTGTTCCCACCGTGCCAGATTAAGTTCAACGACAAGGGGCCGCCGTTTCGACTGGAGCTTCCTGTTCGTCGCGGTGTTCATCGTGGCCGGCGGTCTTGGCAATATACTGGTCTGCCTCGCGGTGGTGCTCGACAGACGGCTGCACAACGTCACAAATTACTTTCTACTGTCTTTAGCCGTCGCCGATCTCCTGGTCAGCCTGTTCGTGATGCCGTTGGGCGCCATACAAGGATTCTTGGGTGAGTTCCCGTATCGAGAAAAAAAAAAAACAGTTTTGTTCATCCTGTCGATATTGATCTACCGATTCACTGCACTTCATCAGTTTCCTCGGCTATTACGTTTACGACGAAAACAAATAAAGTATAATAAGACATCAACAAAGATCTACCAGTCGTTCACATATACCTGCAGTATTCCGTCGATCATTGTTTGACTTGTTCTACACGATTTTTGTCAGGGCGTCATCCCCACCACTGGGGATTTTGTTGTCGAGGCTCGGGTATCGGGTGAAAAAAAAAACAAATTTACGGACCCGAGTTCTTGACAATAATCGACGGAACAATGTACCGTTCAAACTCAACATTCGTTTAATACTTAGACTGCCACGTACATTGCAAAGAGAGCTGAATTATCTAAAAGTATTTTTCGACTTTGTCAAAGCTTTCCAGTGTAAGAAATAGACGTTGAGATATCGGATTTCCCGCCAGAATACAAAAACTCACAAACGTTCCTGCGTGACATATCGAACATGTCACCGAAAAATGAGCGACACACACAGTTCGTAGTTCGGCCGAAAAACCTGGACTCTGTCGTGACCGAACAAAAAGTCACGCGAAATTCTATTTCCATCGACTCCGCAGGCATTTAAACTCCTTCCAAGGGAATTGTTTGTATTATCCAATTTACGTAAAAACAGTTAGGGACTCGAAACTGTGCTCGAATTGTCGCATTTTCACGATTTTTCACGATGCAAGCAACTGCGGACACGATCTGGATTAACGCCAACTCGACGAAGAAACAAGAGAGAATTCCTGCTGGTTAGGATGTATCCAAGTTGATTACAAGGGTTTTGGCAAAGTTTCGCGAGAACCTGCGCCATTGACCGCAAAATTGTCCGATGACCTCGCCCGTTTGAAAGCGTTTCACAGTTTTTTTCGTTCCAAAGGGACGAACGGTTCAAAACGATGCAGAGAAAGAGCTAAGTCCTAGGCGGGATCGAACTTCCGTCAGGTGAATTCGGATTGTTTTCTACGTGAAATTTCGTGTCGCGGATTAATCCCCCCCGCACCTCTGTGACTTCGAGAATTTCGATTCCCTGCGGCGATGTCAGGAATTCAAATTCTCGACGGTGGAGTGGTAGGGAGAAACTTGAAACGAGTTCGAGGTAATTGCGCGGCTTCGGACGCGGAAACGCACTCAACTTGAATAAACTCTCGACTTGGATTCCCGATTCAGCCGGATCAAACAGCTCTCCATGGTCCGCGGCTAGGTTTTCGAAATTTCTTTTTTTTTTCCCGTTCTCCGATTGCACCCCTCGGCGTTGCTCGAAAGTTTGATCGGTCGGATGGAGCGAAGTTTTTCTCCCTCCTTGAAAGAGGACGAATTATAAAGCGACAAACTTGAACCGTCGCATACCGAGACGGAGGAAAACTTCGTCCCGTGGCCGTCCAACACCGAAACTTTCGGTATTTTCCTCGAAAAAGTGGCTCTCGAGACGCTCGTCGTGCGCGTCCCGAGGTCGTATTAGGTATAATTTGCTTTCGATAATCGAGGTCCGTATTCCAGTAGCCATAGGCACGAGTTTGTCCAACGAAACGAAAAATGGTGGAAATGCCACGGCAGGTCAAGTCGGCGAAACCACGAGAAATCAATATTTTTTCTATCGGTTATCGTTTTCTATCCCGAGGAAAACGGGGTCGATGGAAGATCGACCGAGTTGATGAAGATGGAGAGGGGGGCTAAGGAAGCATTTTAAAGGAAATAAAGAGTTCTTAAATCTATGACATTTATAAAATCTACCGTCCTTCGATCTTTTACCGTCTGAAGTTAGTCATCGATCGGTAGGAGCCTTCTACTGGCGCGTTGACGAAGGACAGATTCCCGTCGATTAAAGTGCTCTTAAAAAAAGGAGAGGGGAGAAGGCTCGACCTGAAACAATCATAACCTGTAGGCGGAACAGCGATCGAAGCCGATTAGAACATCGAACGTCGCTACTGTCTTCGACGTTGATCAACGACTAATCGGATTTAATCTAACCGACGCAGCCAGGATGGGGTGTCGCGATAACGAACGGAACAAGATGCTCCAACGAAGGAATCGAGAAAAATTAGGCCGGTGAGATGGAACCTCGTAATTATCGACGTTAAGTCGATCCGACTTACCGCCTCGAATACTTCAAGTGCTGACAAACGATTCACGTCGGAGATGATAGGCGGATGAAGCGAGGGGGGGGGGGTTAAGAAGGAGCTTCGAGAGTGAAGTCAATCGGCAGTAACGCGGTCTTGGGAATATCCATCCGACAGGAGAGTAGGAGAAATTTTTTTACCGCGTGGAAATTTCGTTGGAAAATTTCTCATCGAAAAGATTCATCGCGTATTTTAGTCCTAAACGCAGGAAAACGGCGAACAGCATTTCTACGGCCATGGAAATTCGTCCAAGATTTACGCAGAGACGGAAAGCGAACTCGAGGTCCAAGCTTGCGTTACGAGGCGCTGCGTACTCACTCGACAACTGCGTTCTCTCGGATTACCGTTTCGTAACGCGAGTCGCTAGCGAGACGAGTACACACACACAGAGAGAGAGAGAGAGAGAGAGAGAGAGAGAGAGAGAGAGAGAGAGAGAGAGAAACCGTGGAAACGGGACGACGACGCTTCCCTCCTGGGGCAACGAAAGATCAAGGTTCAGGGTAACGTCGAAACGTTTCGGGTTTAAGTGATCAAGGTCAATATTTGCGCGGACGTCCGTCCACGGATTGACACAATCCACTTTGGATGAGAAGAGTTCTTGACCTTTTGGGCAAAATGATCCAAACTGTGTGTGTGTGTGTGTGTGTGTGTATCTACGTGTCAGTCGACTGCTGATTCGAAGTTTGCTTCGGTACAGGCGTTAGGGTAAGTGTCTTCCGTATTCGTTGTACAGGTAACCCCGTGTAACACTTTAGGTTCCTGTAATATTATAACCTAACAAGAGTACACTGTTCTAGACTGTTGTTCTCTAACCCACGTTAGACTGACACCGTGTTATTCGGGGGTTTCCTCTAAGCGTGTTGTACGAATACTGTGTTATGGAAGTACCGTGCTACAGGAATACCCTGCTATTTTTTCCGTCACCTGCATTTATGTTGGTATGTAATAACGTCGTTATTAATATCATTATCTCCTCGATCGTGCTGCAAAGTTTGAAATACCCTAGACAATTCCAGCTACCTCTGAAACGGTACAAGCCCAACAGCAAGTGGAGCTAGCCGCGCGTCGCATTCAAGATTGTTCCTCGTATATGTATACACCTGGAAACTACAGGTACTTCGAATCGGTGGAGGGATATCGCGTGAGTTATACGCCTCCCCGAGGTATTCGCGGCCGGTGAGAAACAGCGAAAAGTTCCAGAGTCTGGTGCTCGATAAACCCTGGGAAGAAACGAGCCGCGATACATCGTGTCACGGAACAGGGAATGCTGGAGACTGTTATAATTAGACACGCCCGCCGTTAGGGAATCCGCTAACGAAATCGCGTAGAGAATGCAGAAGTTAACGAGGGGGACAAAAATGTCGTTATTTCTACGGGCGGAAAAGAACGAGGTCGAATTTCTATTTTTGACAAGCGCAAAAACCGAAACACACGCGGGGAAAGAGAGTATCGGCCGTTCGGTCGCGCTATAAAAAGGAAATATATCTCAATTGTGGCCGGCACAGCTGCCGTTTCCACCCGTCCACCCCCTTCGCCGCAATCCCCTTTTTTCGACATCCCCATTTATCAAGTTCCAACGGACCTTCCCGCGCGAATCCTCGAATCTCGCGGAAACAATAAATTCTCCGCGTTTCATCGCTGGAATACGCTCTCGTGACAACGTGGTCCGGTATTTTGCGTTGGAACACGAGCGGACGGGTTCACGATTTCAGTTTGCCTGGTCGCTGGTTCGAAGAAATTGAAAGAAACCAAAAAAATAATTGAATAAATCGCACTCGAAGAATGGTCCGTGACGTGTTCGCCAGGTTCGCGAGCGAATACACGTCGTTTCAGCTGGTTAGAATCCACCAGCAATCGGAAGGTGAGAAAATTATGAAAAATTGTAGAAATTTAATCTCGTTTGTCTGGACGCCAGAATGGCCGAGACACGGGAGCGATAGAAGCTGGGACGTGTTCTCGCGACCCGCCGGTAAATCTAACGTGACCGGGCCACGCGCATCCGGTTAATTGCGATTTACTCGACACTACAGGTGAAACTGAAGCACCGTGATCCGAATTTCCAGGCAACATTTATACCCTAGGATCGTTAAACGGTGTATGTATGCGTGTGTGTGTGCCTGTATGTACCTCGCTGTGGGAAACTTCGTGGAATCGCTTTGTATCGTCGAGACTCGCGTGCGAGCAGTTTATGGGGATAGAACGGTTGCCAGCCGCGTTCACGAGCTAGCGAGCGATAATAGGCTGAAATTAACGTCCTATATGTATATTCGAAGTGCTCGTTCATTGGACGGTTCTTATGCGCGAAATTAATGATTTAGGGGGCGGGGGGTTAAAGCGTTTCCGCGTCGACTGAATCGTCTCGTTTGAAATATTTATGCGTTTCGAACGATGCGATCTATACATATTATTGTTATGACTGTAAGAATTTGCAGGAACAGTAAGACATATTTCTCTATAGAAATCATTTCCAGTCAGTTTTACCGCGTTACCTTTGTCAGTCCTGGTCCCACATTTTTGGCCGGTAGTGTATTTCGTTTGAAAAACAGTGTCATCGATGTTCACGATAATTGAAATTCGATAATTTAAAAAGTTAATATTTTCTAGTAACTTGCGAAACTTAACCACGAAACGCGACAGGGGGTAAGACGGAAGTTCACGGAAGCGTCGACCTCGGTGCCCGGGTTAATTAACGAAAATTAAAGTGCACTCGAAAGTGTCGTTAGTTCGGTTTAATTTACTGTCCCCGACAGTTTGCCACCGGCGAACATGACCACCCCCATAATTTCGAGGGAAAGTTTCCATAAACGGAAGTGGACCGCGTCCACTCTCTAACG